TAAATTATATATATATTTATTATTTAATAATTATAAATACTAATTTTTTTTTTTTTTTTAATAGCTTATAAAAGCTTAATTTATTATAATTAATTAACCCACTCTAGCACTTTAGTTTATATTAATAATAATAAAATAAAATAATACTAAAGCTACTTTGCCTAATTTTTTAATTATTACTTATTTAAACTTTATAATACTAATGTAGTGGGGTTGCACCCCAATATTGATTTCTATAGTACTTATAGCCTTGCTACCGGCCTTTTATACCTAGTTTATTATTTACCTTAATATATATATATTTTTTTTTATTATTATTCCTACCTATATTATGTATTATTTAATCCTAGGTTTTTATTATTATTTAGCTTCCTTAACTTTTATGCTTTAGTACTACCTTTTTATATATTAGTAATTAACACAGGGCATGTTTTTTTAATATTATAAAAGTAAAAAGGGCGCCCGCTAAACCCCTAAATTAAAAGTTTTTAATACTAGTAGCTATACCTTAGTAACTTAGGTACTTAAAATTATTAAAAAAAGGGGCAAAGAACTGTTAAGGCCTAAAGGTTAAAAAAAATTAAATAGTAAGTATAAATTAAACCTAGTAAGTAAGGCAAGTAGGCCATGTATAAAGCACCTTAGTAATTTTTAAGAAAATAATAAATTTAGTAATTTTAAAAAATACTAATTACCTAATAAATATAATAAATTAAATAATAAAATTAATAAATTTAATATAAATATAGCTAGTAAATTTAAAGTAAAGCTCCCAAGGGCCTACCTAGGTAGTTATATTAAATACTTAATAATAAAATAAAAATATTTTATAAGTTTTTTTTTATAGTTATAAAGTTTTATTTTTTACTAAGTATTTATAAACCTAGCCCTTTAAAAAATTATTTAAAACCTTTAATATATATAAGCTTACTACCTACTTGCTAACTTTTATTATTAAGTAAAAATATTTTATATATTTAAGTTTTTAAGTAAAAAAGGGGGTAAAAACATTAAATAAATACCTATGTTTATAACTAAAAATTTTAATAATATATTTCTTATGGCTAAAGGTAAGCCTGGTAATATTATTAATAAAATTTACATGCCCTTTAGTAACTCCTGTAGTAGTAATACCAGCACCTTTAAAAATATAAAAGGCATAGTAAAAAAAAAGTATTATTTTTTATTAATTACCCCCATGCTAATTCCCGGTACTTTAAATATGCTTATATTTAATAATAAAAATATAATTAGGTTTTTAAAAGTATATAAGTAAGCCTATAAAAACTAAAATATTTATAATAAACTAGGGAAAGTTACCTAAGTAACAGGCTATTATAATTATAATATTTTAAATATTATTAAAAACCTAAAAGGGTACGCTAAATAAAACTAGGAGGTTTTAAAAATTATTATATTAAATAAATACTAGCGCCTTAATTAATGCTAAATTAAGTAATTATATTAATATTTTAAAAAATTTAAAAGCTAGTTATATATATAAACTAATAACCTCCGCGGCTATATTATAAAATATAATATAATTTTAATTTAAGTTATATAAATTAGTAAATTAAATAATTATACTTAATATATTTAGCTAACATAAGGCCTTTTAAGTAACCTAGCTTAATAAGTTCTTAAAAAATTTAGGTTAAAGGTAAGGAGCTATTACTAGCTTAAGTATAAAATAATTAAAAAATATATATTAAATACCCTGGCAGCAAAAGAACTATACCTTAAAATTAATAAAAAAGTTATTATATTTTTTAAAAAAAAAAGCTAAAAAAAAAAGGCTATATTTTAAATATTTTTAAGTATATAACTAGTATTTTAGTGGCCAAAAAGCCCCTGGTTTTATTTAATAAAATTATAAGCTAGTAAAAAAGGCACTTTAACCCTATTTAAGATAACTTTTAAAAAATTATAAAAGCTATTAAAGTATTATAACTAAACCTTAAAGCTATAATAGCCTAATAAGTATAATAGCCCTTTTACTTTTTAAATATATAACAGGCATTATTTTCTTAAATATTTATATACTAAACCACTATATATATTTTTTTTTAAATTAAAGCTGTTTTTTAGTAATACCCGCCCTAGTAATACCTATTTTAATAGTACCTATTTTAGTAGCACCCGCCCTAGTAATACCCGCCTTAATAATACTAAAAATAATAATACCTACTTAATAATATATTAGTACTCCTGGTTTAAGCGCCTTTACCTTATAATAACTACTACTATTATAGGACTTTAAGATGCCGCGTAGGCACTTATATTATATAAGTAATAAATATAATAAATAAAATATATTATAAAAACCTAAATATTAATAAGCTATATATTAGCAAGGCAAGAAATAAAAAACCTAAGATTAAAGGCTAGCTAAAAGTACTAATAATAAAATAAGTACTAAAAGCTATTAAAAATTAATTAAAGCTAAAGTTTTTAAAAGTAAATATTAATATTATTAAAGCCTTAATTATTAAGCTTATAGACGTTAAAAACCTAAAAAAAAATATTAAAAATAATAAAAACTTTAATTATAAATTTAATAATTTAATTAAGGTGTAACTATAGTTATTTATAGCTAATAAATAAATTAAAAAATATAAAGCCATTAATAATAAGTACCTTATTATTTAATTAATAAGATTTAGCCAGCACGTGAATAAAATAATTAAAAAGTTTAAACTTTTAAAAAATATAAAAAAATAGCCCTGGGTAAAAAAAGTAATAAAAGCTATAAAAATTAAAATATAAAAAAAAAAAAAAAAATAAAAAGCCTTAGGCTATTATTTAATCCTAGCCTATAGCTAAAAATAAGCTAGTAACTAAGCTAAAAAAAAAATACTAATAAACTTTATACTTAACCATGTATTTTAGTAACTAGTAGCTAATATTATAATTAATAACTTTTTTAAAATATTTAAACACCTATATTTTATATTTTTTTATTAACTTTTTATAAATTCAAGCCCTCCTAGCATTATTGCCCAGGTTCCCTAAGTAATTTTAAAAAATATAGCTATTATAAACTTAGTATTAGGGCCTAAGCTAACTAATAACATGCCCTTTTAACACGTGCAAGTAATATTTATAAATATTATTATAAAAGGCTTAAGGTCTAAGCCCCTTTTTAATAAGAAAAACCCTTATATATCCCTAAGTATTAAAATCCTAATTAAAATAAAAAAATAGTTTATAAAGGCACTTCTGGATACCAGCGCGGAACTTAATATTATTAATAAATAATTATATAAAAAAATTAACTTGCCTTATAGGTTAAAGCCGCGGGTAAAAGTAATAATTATAAATTAAGCTAAGGGTAGTTATATAAGTATTTTAAAAAACCTTTTAG